CGTCAGCGCGAGTGAGTGATAAATTGTGCACTCGACGGGTAATAATGGATTATGACGGAAATGTTAAAATCCTGTCAGTCAAAATGACTGACAACGAAAAAGTCTAAAGCCACCACTGCTTGGGAGAAAGAAACGATGTGATATTTGGGCCCATGTTCACTACAATGAGACGGAGGAAAAAAGCGAATGCATTGTTTTATCAGAAGGGAAGCAATGTGGGCATAACACAGCTGGTAAAAACACCACAACCTGACCTGATACTCTCTGCAAAGCTGCATTCTTAATCAACCTGTGTTTTTCATCAAATAAGGACAAGATATCATCTTATTGTGAAATACATTTAACTAAAATGACAAATGATTGGTTTTGGCTAGACTAGTTTGACTGAAATGTTCTATATAATATGATGACTAAAAAAGACAACAGTTTTCATTGACAAAAAGTAGACTAAAATAATTAGTTTTCTTTGACTAAAATATGACTAAAATGCTCAGACTTTTAGTCGACTAAATCTTGACTAAAATATTTACTGTTTTAGTCGACTAAAATATGACTAAAATGCTCAGACTTTAGGCGACTAAAACTTGACTAAATAAAAACAGGATGAAGGTGACTAAATATGACTAAAACTAAAAAGGAAATTTAACACAGGACTAAGACTAAATAAAAAAATAGCTGACAAAATGAACACTAGTGCGCACCAGACGACAGTTTGGAAATGCTGTTCAACAATTGGTCAGACATTAAGGGGGAAAAAACGCAAATCCCGGCAATTTCTACCGGAGCCTCCGCCATGGAGCATCGGCAGGTTATGTTCATGCTGTTGTTAATCTAGAGAGCATATCAACAGCAACGGCGCATATGATTATATAATCAGACAACGTGCGATAAAAAACAAAACATAATGAGATTGAGACGCTCTGCAGTAAGGAGGGGGTTTCACCGACGGCAGGTGGCTCTGACTTGGATGTATAGTCTTTAGTTTGATAGTTGTTTTTACTTTACACGACACTGTTCAACCCTTCATTCTGCTTCACTCTTTCGCTAACGATTTTGAAGACAGCCGTGTTCTTGTGACACGTAAATACTAAGCTTCCTATGTTTTGGTGCGGACTGCGTTCACACCAGCGATGAACTGCTCCAGAGTTCACTAGCAAGCGGTCACACCGACCCAAACGAACCGCACCAAGCGGCTTAACGCAACAGGGTTCGATTCAACCGGACTATAAAACGCTGGTGTGAATGCGACCTAAGACTCATATTCTGTCAGTAAACCTCATTTGTATATTCCTATTTGATGTCTTTCTGAGTTGGACTTTTTTCCTTATTTTGACAGAAATGGAAATTGATTGTTAAATGCTGTTTATGTGGGTGGTGATGTACCAAAAGAGGAATATGAATGTTTTATTCAAAAGGAGAACGCCTGGAAAAAACCCTGACTACTTTTTTAAAGTATAAAAGTATAACATGTTTACCAGTTTTGACTTGAGTCTTACTGCCTGAGAATCCCTCCTGCCCGCGTCAGAAACACTCTTTTGTTCTCACACTTTATAAGAATCTCTAAATGGTTGAAGCACCAAATGCAGTATAATCCAAGCAGCTAAAGTCTTTTCAGCGTGCTCTGAGCCCTGAATAAAGAACAGAAACACATTCTTCTGTTTCAAGGTCACAATGTGGATAACTATGATGCAAGGCACGCTTAGCATGCACTACTTTCCCCAGGGTAGGATATTTAATGTGAGGATGACTTTAAAAACAGAACATTAAACTCAGATGTAGATAAGGCTAAACTCATTCATGCCACACATCAGACTTCAGATCTTTTCAGATAAAAGACCAAAGAATAAACCGTAACTATGATCCATTGTAGCAGTGCAGCCAATCAGATCATCACCAGGGTGGGGAGGGGTACTTTAAAAATGTATCTGTTACAATAACTAGTTATATGTACAAAAACAAATTATAAGTAACCTAATCTGAGTATCAAAATCTAAAAGTAACCTGATTACTTTCTCTCTCACACACACACACACACACACACACACACACACACACACACACACACACACACACACACACACACACACACACACACACACACACATAGTAATGAGAGCGTACCTGTCAGCAGGATGCTGCCTCAGGTCAGTGCTTGCCTCCAGAGGAAGCCTTCCCCTGGCTGTTCCTGCGCGCACACACCTGTATGCTGTCCCCGCTCTCTGTCTGCAGCTTGACATTTGGTACGGTGAAGATAGAAGATACTGCAGGGGAAGAGACGCAGGCAGGTTAGAAGAGTGCAGGCTGACAGGAAGAGGAACATTTCTCAGTGAGAAGTTAGACACAGAGATAAAAAAGAAGATTTGAATATGTATCTGCAGTGAGAAGCTTCTTAAGGTTTAAATATTGCCGTCATAAGTATCTCTAAAGGTATTTAAATTGGTACATGACACATTTGAACTTTACTCACTTGTTTTGGAATTATAATAATGTTGAAAATTGCAATTCTAGATTCAAAATTGCTACCAATTCTGATCATAATGTTTTTAAAGAAAAACATCAATAGTCTTATCACTTCACTTTCGTCTTTGATTGTCATTTCCTGGCTCATACAGAGGTAGACATAACTTCTGATTGATTGGGATAGACAGCACTGTTGGTAACTCCTAAAGGAACCTGGAATGTTGGAACACTTGCATTGGACATATTCTAAGTAGTGCTTCATTTAGTTTCAGGAATGTGTTGTTGGAACAGTTCAAACAAAAGCCGAACCGCTTCAGACATACATTAAGGCCGACCCAGGAGTTAGCATAGCAGGGCCGCCTTTTTAAAACTCATTGGATTTTACCATTGGATTTCAGAATATTGCAGGATATAAAATCTTTAGCAAAACAATGTCTTCACCTTGTGGCAAACCTAAAACACGTTGACAAACAGTTGCCTTTGAGACCAGGGAACCTTAAAGTGGTTAAATGCTAACTCATTTCCATGTTTAAGGACTCATACCTGCAGCTCTCTATACTGTAGATGTCACGTTACATTTTGTTTGTCATTTGTATGTCAATGGCTGCAACTTTCCTATGTTTTTAGAAGCCCGGCATGCACCTGTCCCTTTCACCACATGCAGTATCTCTGCCTGCACCATTTTAAATCCTCATGGCTCAGAGGCAGTCGTTCAGTTTAAGGGAAAACTCAAAACTCTTCTCCATTGGCTCATTGTTTCTGGTGCTTATCTTTCGGTGAACAATGGGGATCCCAAAGTGGATTTAGCTCTAATTCCTATTGGAGCAAATGGATTTGAAATCCTTCTCTCTAACTGGTAAATAAAGGCAGTGGAATTTCACAAAGAGCAACAGTTCTTCACTTCCAGATCCATGACGCTCTGTCCACAGAGACAGGAGAGAGTTCTCCCTGTTCTGCCAGGCACACACACACTTCCTCTGAAATCAAATTAAGAATGCCACTATCCAATCCTCAGAGTAACAGAAAGCTCAGGAGCTCCATTGTCTCATTAATTCTCCCATTGTCCCTGGTAATCTGTCTGGGTATTGTCTGGATAAATCCATCATACACATGACAATAGAGTGAACAGTTGGCCATAGAAAGCATACTGTTCATCCCTACAGCGACAATAAGGGACATTTACTTGAAAGCATTCATTTCTCAAAAATATATGACATCTGTGTTACTGGTAGTACTGGTGCTGATTCTGTAGAGCAGCTTATACTGGGCTGTTCCCATTAGAGCATTATTAGCGTGCCTGGCTGCAGTCTAGCTCTCACAGCTGGAGTAATTAGCCAGTTCTTTATCTCAAAGTCACTTCATTTGCATAATTTTGACACATCCTTCCCCCACAAAACTGTGAGTGGCAAATCTGCACACACACATTGGAAGACTTTGTGTTTATCCACTCCTGTCCTAATTTCTCCAAACTGTTTGAATTCTCTCCCCTCAGAGCTCAGCTGCCTGTGTCACATGTGCCGCACAATAGAGAGGCAGAGAGAGCAAGCGAGCATGACAGAAATCAAAAGCAGCATCTCTCTCCTCCTCTGCTAGTGACCGCCGCTCTCTGATTCTTTTCAGACATGACAACCTGCTGGGTGCTGATAACAGGATTATTAATGCTGATAATTCCTAATCGCAGGGAATTAAAAATGGAATTCTCCACTAAAATTACCACCATGTCAGTGGCAGCACACTCAGGTCTGCTGAGCAGGCTTTCACACCGCTAATGAATACCAGTTTAAGGGATTGGTGATGTACGTATAATCATATGGATATGTCATCTCAGACAGACCTTCATTCAATAACACAATTATGTGGGATTCATTGAAAAATAGCCTTGAACTCTTACAGCCAAATACATGCAGCACACATCTGCTTCTAAAGTGAAGCATTGTACTTCTGTAAATCACCAGGTACAGTACAATGCATGGGTGGTGTTGAAGCAGGTGGGGGGTGCGGGCAATAATGGCCAGTGCCCCTGTTACAATGAGCTTTGACGCCCCTGTGGCCCCCCTCCAAAAGAGGAGTTTATATTGACAATGCAATTGTAGGTAGTGTTTTGCTGTGAATAGCCGAAGTAAACTAAAATGCATTTTATTTTTCATTATGTCATTTAATAATAATTTAACTATAACAAAAATGATGTTACCAAAAAACACCAATGATGGTATTTTATGTTTTTTGTGCGCCATACACAAATTAAATGTTAAAATGTTGAACACTGTTTTTTTCTCTATTTGGCCCAGCATAAAATACTGGCCCCAGCAAGGCCCCCCCAGCAAGGCCCCCGCAGTCAAATGAGGGTTTAGAACCACAGTGCCTCAGCCTGCTCAGGACGATGTCAAAGCAGAATGAGTGTGTTGCTGCAGCCAGCAGAGGTCCGGCTGCGCTCACTGTCCCAGCGGCAGCCTCATAATAAGAGCTTTCTCTGCAGGAACAAAAAGCTGCCCTGAGGTCTCTGCACTGCTCCTCTGCAGACAGAGAGCAGGAGGACACTGTGATCCACAGCAGAGCAGGGGGCGCAGGAAGAAAAACGCAAGAGGAGAGAGAGCGATGCTAACTTCCACGTCGGCCTTCTAAAGTACGTAATCACAGCACCTCTCTAATAAGCCTGAAAGAAGTATTTTCTGCATTTTGGTCAACAGTATGTGTGTATGTGTGTGTGTGCTGTGGTACGTACTGTCCTGCAGCTCACAGAGCCGCGGAGGAAGGTTGCTGAAGTACTCGTGGTTCAGCGCTGCCTGGGCAGACAGCCGGTTCTTTGGGAAGCACTGGAGGAACCTGGAGGCCAACTCCTCGCCGTGATCCACGTAGCCCAACCTGACACACAGAAGCACACTTCATCAGAGAGACACCACAGAGACGCCACAGAGATGCACACGCGACGAGACAGTTCAAAAAAGGTTTGAGATAAAAGACTACAATTCCCACAGTGCGAAACGTTAGACACATAAATAGGCATGTACACAGTTCTCAACCGTTACTTTCTTTAACATTAGCATCTTCTTGGCTTTGCCTCTTTTGTTTTGACCACAACAGAAAACAGGCCGTCAACCCATTTAGCCGATCCAATGCTCTTTCCTTTAAATATATATATATATATATATATATATATATATATATATATATAGAGTTACTATTAATTCATCCCTTTGAGAAATAAACATTTTTTTTCCAATTCACAGAGCTGCTGACAACAACAAATAAGCCTCCTAATGATGCTGATGTCTGCTGACTCAAGAGGAGAACACCTCTTAGACACACACACATACACCTTGCTGTGTGTCTGTCTGTATGTGTATTCATACTGGGAGTCACTGAACTCCTGAACCAGCCCCACCTAGCAGTGCCGAGGGGGAGAAGAGATTGAAAATAACGAAGAGCAACACATTCAGTGAGTAATTAGTAATCTCTGCATTAAAGAAACATGATGTTATTCAGCTCTCGGGCACAGAGCGCCTCTCATGTTCTGCAAGCCTCTTACAGCCCAGCACTCTGACACACACTCCCACGGCTCTCAATGGGGATCTCAGCTCCACTTATCAGCAGAGACAGAGGAGGGGGAACTGTTCAACTCATCCACGCCACTCAGCAGAGTTAATGAAGTCCATCAGGGCCTCCGCTCGCCTCTTCCTCGCACAGCTGCGGGACTCCAGTGCACACTCAGAAAGTCTTTGTGAGAAACTATACTTATGGAAAAGAACTGAAAGTGAAATGAGACAGCTTCTTAAGGCCATTACTGATACTAGTTTGGTTTGAAGCAGCTGATTAACAGTGCAGCTATTCAACAGTTCTGAAGATAAATGAGAGCTTCTCATTGCTGCAAGGTTCATGTTGGGGCTGGATTATGGTGATGTGTTTTTTTTGAATGCATCTTCTACATGCCTAAGATCTCCGGATGCCGTCTATCACAGGGCATTGAGGTTCATTGCAAACCTTAAACCCATACGCACCGTTGCTGCTTGTATGCTCAGGTTGGATTTTTCTGATTTGCCACAGGGCTCAGTGCTTGGACCTATTTTGTTCACACTATATATGCTTCCGTTAGGCAATATTATAAGGAATCATTCTGTAAACTTTCATTGTTATGCGGATGATACTCAACTATATTTATCAATCAAGCCTGATGAAATTAATCATCTAAATAAAATTCAAGACTGCCTCAAGGACTTAAAAACGTGGATGACCTTACATTTTTTGATGTTAAACACGACCAAAACTGAAGTTATTGTACTTGGCCCGAAGAATCTACGAAACAAATTATCTAAAGATATATTAACTATGGATGGCATTAATTTGGCCTCCAGTGAGACTGTAAGGAATCTTGGTGTTATATTTGATCAGGATTTATCCTTTAACACCCACATAAAATCAATCTCAAGGACCGCCTACTTCCATCTACGTAACATTGCAAAAATCAGACATATCTTGCCTCAAAACGATGCAGAGAAACTAGTCCATGCATTTGTTACTTCAAGGCTGGATTATTGTAACTCCTTATTATCAGGGTGTACCAAGAAGTCAGTCAAGTCGCTTCAGCTGATTCAAAATGCTGCAGCTCGTGTACTAACCAGAGTTAGGAAAAGGGACCACATTACTCCTGTTCTGGCTAACTTACACTGGCTCCCTATAGAACACAGGATAGAATTTAAAATTCTTCTTCTCGCCTACAAAGCCCTTAATGGGCAGGCGCCATCTTACCTTAAAGAACTCATTATACCCTATGTCCTACTAGGGCATTGCGTTCCAAGAATGCAGGGTTGTTGGTTGTTCCTAGAGTCTCTAAAAGTACAATGGGAGCCAGAGCCTTTTCTTATCAAGCTCCACTTTTGTGGAATCAGCTTCCAGTTTGTGTTCGGACGGCAGACACCCTATCCGTTTTTAAGACTGCGCTTAAGACCTTCCTTTTTGATAAAGCTTATAGTTAGGGCTGATTAGATTCAGCCCCTAGTTTTGCTGATATAGGCTTAGTTTGTCGGGGGACATCTTACTTCTTCCTTCTCTCTGTCTATACCTGTGTACTCTCATGTTCCGATTAACCTGCTTCCCCAAATTTCCTTTCTTTTTGGTGGCTCTATATACGCCCGGGGATCCGGAGGGTCATGGGATGATCCTGCGGTCCCTGGTCTGTCATCTGCGATTGGCGCGAGTCCTGGATTCTTGACGCTCCGTCGGCTGCTGGTCCTGGATCATCAAGTCTGTTGGAATATACTCCGTGATTCAAT